AGGCCTCCAGGGTGCTGGAATAGAGAGGTGGGGTGTGTGTCCTTCCCAGTCTGCTCCAACTGTGTCCGGAACAAGTCGCATAAAAAGCCGGATTCGATTCAGATGCTGGAGAAGTGAAACTTGGTGGAAGAAATGCCAGCCCTGTTTGTAAAGCATGGAGAGGGCACCCGCTTCCAGGCAGGAAAGCCGGAAAGCCTTCCGAGGACGGCTGAGGATGGAAGTGAAAGAAGAAAGCACCAAAGCAGGACTGCAGTTGAACATGAAGAAGGCGGAAATCATGACTACTACAGAAGAACGAGACCGCTCCCCGTATTGACCACGAAGAAACTGAAAGAGTGAGAGATTTGGCGTGCCTTCGTCCCACCACCTGATCCAAAGGGAGGCTGGAGACAAGAGGTCAGAAGGAGGCTGAGATTCGGAAGAGCAGCAAGGAGGGAGGCACTAGAACAGATCCTGGAGGGAAAGGACGCGTCCCTGGAGATCAAAGGCCAAGACCATCCACACTCTGGTGTTCAGGTGGGAACGCTGGACAGTGAAGGGACCCGACAGGGAAATAAATAGATCGTTTGGACACATGGCGCTGGAGCCGAGCTTTGCAGAGACCCTGGACGGCCAGAAAGACGAACCAGTGGATCCTAGATCAAATTAAGCCTGAACTTGCCTCTCTGAAGGGCAAAATGTTGAAACTGAGGCCGTCCTGTTTGGGATCATCATGAGAAGGCAGCATTCTCAGGATAAGATAATAATTTTGGGAAAGGTGGACGTCAGCCGGAAAAAAGAGGCAGGCCAAATTATGAGATGAATTGAGGCCATCAAGGAAGACACGGCCTTGATTCTGCAAACATTGAGCAGGGCGATTGTCCATGCGACTTCATAGGGTCAGCGTCACTCAGAAGTGACCCGTTGGCAAATAAAACAAGCAGCTTTCTTTTTATTTTAGTTTTGTTAATGACATTTCTATCCTGCTCCTCTAAGTGACCCTTTTGTTAATGACAGCACCTAATTTAACTTAATTTATTTTTCTCTTCTTTATCTATTTATTATTTGCGATTATTTATGATTTTTGTCATTTTCTGTTAATTGATTTTTAATTTATTTTATTGTAATTGTATATATGTTCCTGTTAGCCGCTCAGAGTGGTATAGATTTACCAGATGAGCGGGATATAAATCAAATAAATAAATAAGACATTTCTATCCTGCTCCTCTAAGTGACCAGGCACCACTCTGAGCAGCTAAGAGCAATAAAAGAAACACAGCCAGCCACCCCTTTCGGCTGTTTCTTTGTCCACACTTTGCTTCTGGGTTTCTCCTGGCAAAGACAGGCCTTCCTTTCTATAGATGCCTGGCGCACCACGACAGCAAGGTTGGAGGGAACTCGGCGAGTCTCTTTCGCCACCTTCCTGCCTGTCCTCTGGCCCTGATGTTTCCCAGAAACCTCAACCCAGCCCCCATCCATCCATCCATCCAACCATCATTTCCTTCCTTCCTTCCTTCCTTCCTAGACCACCACAGGGGCGCCTGGGCCAGCAGAGACAGCCGCCGGAGGCCTCCTGGAAGCAACACTCCAGGCTCACATCAAACCTGCTGAAAAACAATCTGGACTAAGGCTGAAATCTCGCCTCATGAACCAGATGCAATTTCTCCCCCTAACAGGTGAATGGCTGGCAAGGGCACTGATTCTCCCCCCCCTCCCGCCTGAAGGTCTCTGCCTGACGGGCACAATCTCAGCTCCAGAACACAAAAGGGTGCTGTAGGGAGTGGAAAAGTCCTAGGAGTTAGAAGCGAGACCTGCACGCGCCCCCACCCCACAAACTTTCACCAAAGTCAAGCACCAACCAAGCATCACTTCAAGGAAGGGCAGCCTCAGCCTAAGCCAGAAAGAGAGGCAGACCAAGACAGAAGAGAGCCTCTGAGTACCTGCAGAGTGCCCTTAGCTTTCCACAAAGGAGTTACAGCCATGGAAGCCAGAAACAGGAGGATCGGGGGTGGGGGTGGCTGGGTGTGCATATACTTCTCTCTGTGTGTGCGCGCTATGTGTGTACACATGCACACACAAAGGTCAACACATTGTAGTCTCCTGCAAGAGAGTCCAGCTGGCCTGGCCCCCCGGGAACCGGCTCAGCAGGCTCTCCCTGATGGCGGTGGGCCCTACACAGAGCCAGGCTTGGGGCTGGAGGTGGAAGAGCCCAAAGGGCCACCCCCGGGAAGCAGGGGCCCGATCCTCTCCAAGGCAGCCCAGAGGTGGCACCTGGCAGGAGACAAAGAGAGGGGTCTGCCCAGGGTGACCTTGTGGGACCCTGGACCGACCTTGGTTTGATGGCCTTTCCTTGCCGGGCAACCTCCCCTCCTTCCCTCCCTGACTGCCAGAAAGTTACCCAACCGGCTGCTGCGGATTGAGTAAGGCCAGCCGGAAAGAGGCCTGGAAGCTGAATGGTGATCCGGGCACCCTCTCTGTTCAAGTTGCCAGAGAAATCACACTGCCTGCAGGCTGTTCTCCACAAAATTGGCAGGTCGTTCCCTTAACCCTGTCAGCCCCTGGTGATTTCCGGCAAAGTGCAGCAGAGAACCAGGCCGGCGGAAAGAATTCATGGAGCCCGAATGCCGTGGATCTGCTCCGATTTCTGCCACAAACTTTGGTGCAAACGGGCCATTTTTAACTCGCTGGTGGAGGCCCTGCTTGGAGGAGCTGGAATGAAGTGGCATCGCTGTTGCCTGACTGACTTGCCACAGACAAGACCACCCAGCAGACCCCTTGGCTGTCGTTTTAGAATCCAGAGGTTTGCCCAGGGAACTCCAAACATGTTAAACAAGCACAAGCCAGGTTAAAGCCAAGGGGAGTGAGCAACATAAAAGGAAACCCTGTGGTGCAGGGCCCTTGTGCGGCTGCTTTTCTGGGCCACTCGGCTGCTCATATTCCATTTCATATCTAATTTCCCATCTTGCTCACTAGCAAGTTTACAGTGCAACACGTGAGGACAGGAGCGATGAGCTAGCTGCACGCTGTTGCCCAGGGGCTCCCCGAGAGGACTCTTTGGGGAGCCTCCTTCCAGCCAAAAGAAAATGGTTTTGAAACACAGAAAAAAACTGGAGCGACCTTACAACGGCATATGATAAAACCGCAATCTAGCAATAATCTCTGCGTAAGATCATGGGCAAGCAGGAAAGGTCACAGTTCTGTTTCAAAACCAAAGATCCTTTGTTGAATTCCAAGGACAACACTGTCGCTGGAGAAACCAAAGGAACTCTCTCTCACAAGGTAGAATCCCTGGCGCCATTACTGTACTTTTTTACACTGACACAAACAATGTTCCCATCCTCCGGGAGTTTTATCTATGCTGATGATCTTGCCTTCAGACCCGCTATCCTCTGCACTAAAAGATCTTTCCTTATATTATTAAAAACATAAAAACACTTTAAAAACAGAAAAGCAGAGGGGAAGCTCTAGGTTAGCCTAGAAAGCAAGATTTTGGAAGACTGCCCTACCCCAAAGCGTTTGGGCATCACTCTGACCCAAATTTTGTCCAAACTCCGGGAGGCCGTGGAAGATAGGAGGGCCTGGCATGCTCTGGTCCATGGGGTCACGAAGAGTCGGACACAACTTAATGACTAAACAGCAACAACTGACCCAAATGCTGACTGACAAAAACATTGTCTAAAAACTAAACAAAAAGCTGCTGCCAGAAATAAAACACTTATGCAAAATGGGCTGAGTCAGAGTGGGATGCACACCCACAAACAGTAAGAACAACATCTTTGTCCCTGTGTCACCCCACAGCAGAAGATGTTAGTGCCACATAGTATAAATCAGCACTTGCCAAACGAATGGATGTAGCTCTTAATGACTCATGCAAGATTATTAATGGCTGCCTGAAACCTACCCACACTGAAAAAGTACATGTATTGGCTGGCAGTGCCCCAGCAGAAATACGTCAAGAGGCACTAGCAGATAATGAACAACATAAGGTAACTCAGCATCAAACTCATCCACTTCATGGACCCCAATCCCCCTACAGGACAGCTAAAATTGAGAGGTTTTCAGCACACCTTTGGGGACTACTTGGATTCAGGATAAGTTTTCTGTGACTGTGGAGGAATCCAATCAATGCAGCACTTGCATGGATGCAATGTATGCCCCACCACCTGCACAGGGCAGCAGGAAGCAGCAGAGAGGGCACACCTCGTTCCAAAGGAAGTGCCTTGGCCATGTGCCTGGGGCTGGTCCCCTCCCTCCTGCCCCAGGCTTTGCTTGCCACCCCTACGAGACATGTGCTGCAATGGAGGAAGCTGCACCTGTTGAACTTCTGCACCTGTTAAAAGGCACCCACCAATAAAGAGAGGAGACCAGAGACCAAGAGAAGGGCCCTGCCCAAAACTGTTCAGGCTGCTGAGCAGTTTATTGCCCCGCGGGGCCCACGAGGAGGAGCGGCCGCCAACCCAGGCTCTCAGAGGGCGGCACCCGTCCAGCGGGCAGAGCCAGAAGCAGGACATGAATTACAGCTTTATGGACGCCTGCATAAAACGGTGATGCACAACACGGCTTTCAGGTGAGGAAGCAGGCCAGCCGAGATGCCAGGGAAGAGAGTGTGCCAGCTCGAAGCACCACCAGGGGAAGGGGAAGTTAGCCAGATCTTGAGAACAGCCGTCCGTCCAAAGACTGCACTTCTTTAAGCTCTGAAAACACCATTGATAGAATCCTGGAATCGCGGCGCTGGAAGGGGGCTTATAAGGCCACCGAGTCCAACCCTCTGCTTGAGGCAGGAATCAAAGCCAATCTGGCAGAGGGTTGTCCAAGGGTCCCATTCTGTTTGCAAAGACGAGGGTTCCTGTGAGGCTCCAACAATAAGAAAACCTAGGAATTTAAAATAATAATAATAAAAAAAACCAAGGAGAAGCTGGTTGGAAGCAGAGTGGGCCCGGGTCCTGCTTTGCAGAAAACAGTCCTCTTTGGGGTCTAAAATCCCTTTGAAAAGAAATGATGGGGGGGGCACTTGATGCTGTCCAGCAACCGGTAACACCTGCAGAGCAACAGAGCAAATGGGCCCGGCCGAGAGGTCAGCTAGCCCGCCCTGGGGCAGGATGGCTGTCCTTCCACAAGAGAGAGGAAGGGTTTCCTGCAATGGCACTCGCACCTGCAAATGAAGATCTGCATACCCCTGCCCTCCCTTTGGGCAAGGAGTAAGCAGCTGCCCCAGTTGGGAAGCCCCACTGATCTCAGATACCCCCAAGCAGGCCAAGGCCACTGCCAGAGTTTTCTCTCTGCGGAGGAGAGAGAGAGAGAGAGAGAAAGAGACCACCAGCAAATTCCGGCATGCCAAGGCCTTTGTTAAAGCCATTCAAGACGCCTTGAAGGTTAGACAGCTTTCAAGGCTGCAACTGCAAAGGTTATTCTAAATAACCCGGACAAAGTTCTTCACAGGACGGGGCTCGGCTCAGCCCCTGCTTCCCAGAGGGCTCCCAGCTGCTAAAGGCCGGCCAGCGAGCCCCCAGAGCGTCTCCCGGCCTTTCGGTACGGCTAGCTGTAGACTTTTAAATTGTGGTCCTTGGGTTTAAAAAGGAAACGAACCCGGGACATGGAATGAGAGACGGGCGCCCCTCGCAAGGGGCCTGAAGGGTCAGGCTCTGGCAGGCCAGGCCGGAGGGCACCCCCAAACCCCAGGAGAGCCTGGCCCTGTGAAACTGTCTCCGCCCCCCCCGCTGCCCAACCTGGGGTCACCCTGGACTGCAAATCCCAGAAGCCCTCACCACCAACCAGGCTGCCTGGCATATCTGGGAGCTGCAGTCCCAGAAGCCCTTGGGACGATTCGCTCCCGGACAGGAGGGAGGCAGTCCCCCCCCCACTGTGGGGGCTGGGGGCACCCCTTTGAACAGCCCCAGCCTCCCTCGGGTACAAGGGTCGCTTCCGGGGCTGTGAGGAATTTGTCAGGCCACCTGTTTGAGCCTACTTTGGCTGCTGGTTATCTATACCTGAGCGACCGAGCCCTCTCCGGAGAGAACCGTCTGTAGAAACCCTGCCTTCGAGTCACACCTGGCCCAGGTGCACCTTCAGAACCAGCCGTCTCCAAAAGGTCGGCTCCTGAAGAGTCCGGCCCAACGGCTGTAGGCTAAAGGCTGTGGCTTCCTTTATGGACTGAATCCATCTCATGCTCTGGCCTCCTCTTCTCCTGCCTCCTCCACCTTTTCCAGCCAATCCGCCTGCCTCCTGCTCTGGCCAAAAGGCCGCTGGGTTGGCTCTAGGGAGAGCTGCGGCGCCTTGACTGGGTCGGGACTCCCCTTTGGCGGGCAGAGGGGCCAGGGACTCCTCCAGAAAGAGGGTCAGGGCCGCTTCAAGCTGGGCTCCGCTGCGCCGTCAAGAATGAGAAAAGGGGGGGCGGGACACTCCTCTTCCCTTCCTCCCCCCTCCCTTCCCTTGCTCCCTCCCCCCCCTCCGGGGACTCACGGGGCCGGCCGGTCGCGGGGCCTCGGACAGCTCCATCGAGGAGGGCGGCGACGCCGGCGGAGGAGCACGAGCCT